CCAACCGCTGCCAGGTCATGCTAAGCTATACCAGACCAGGCCAATCTCTGCCAGGCCATAGTGAGCTCTGCTGGGCCATATGCTGAACCTGAACGTGTACCAGGCCACGCTGAGCCATGTTGGACCCTTTCAAGCTGCACCAACCTGTGCCAGGTCTCACTGAGCTGCACCATGCTGTCAGGCTCTACTAGGTCAAATGAGGCCGGGCTGAGCCTCACCAACCCCTGCTAGGCTGTGCTGAGCTGTTTCAGGCCGGGCTGTGCCAGTCTCTGTCAGGCAGCATTGAACACTGCCAGCTCATGTCATACCAACCTGTCCCAGGCTGTGCTGAGCCACGACAGGCCCTGCTGAGCTCCACCAACCTGTGCCAGGCTGTGCTGAGCCTTGTCAGACCCTTTCAAGCTGCACCAACCTGGGCCAGGCCCTTCCACGCCATACCAAGCCTAACCAGGCTGTGCCAGTCCCTGCCAGGCTATACTGAGCACTCCTAGATCATGCTGTAGCAGCCTGTGCCATGCTGTGCTGAACCACGTCAGGCCCCTTTGAGCTGTACCAACCTGTGTGTGGGATTCTCCTGGAAAGGCATGCTGGAGAAAGGGAAAGGCATAATTGGGTGAAAGGTAGAAAACAGGACTAGGCAAAGGTCTGGTTACGGTTTTCTGCCTAGTAGTCCTATTCACCTTTTTGTTGCATGGCCTGCAGCAGTTATGTCACTGGGGAACAGATAAACCTGACTGTCCCTCCAGTCATGGCCTAGCTAGTGCCAAGAGCCTGAGTCAGCCCCAACTTGGTGGATTACTGGCAAGTGTGTGGCTTGATTATATGAAACAAAATGGTGCTAGACTGAATCAGGACCACAAAATGATGCTCACAGCTGTGGCTCCGTGCCTCTAGGATGAAATAAAGAAGTGCAGCTAACTCCTGTAGGACCCAGGGGAGGCTTTCCTTCCTCTTTCATGAGGCAAGCCTAGCACAGCTTATCGGACTAACCCCATTTAGCAGAAGCAGTGTGCACTGTAGTGATTAAGTAACAAACTCAGCAGAGATCAAATGCTAGCAGATTATAAAACAGTGCAGGGACCACTATGGAGTAGGATCCCCTCCTAGATGGACTGAGAGCCCCACACCGTTAGCACCAATATCTGAACCAACCAGCGAACATCGGGTCGTGTTATCGTCCCTAAGAATATCTTGAAATCTCTCTTCTTGCCAGGGGTATTGGTTATGGACCTCTCTCAAGGAATTTGGTCTAATCCTGTGCCTTGGGGGAATCACTGGACTCCATTACTTGGTAATTCATGGAAAACCAAAAGTACACATCCTGCTCACACCCCCTCCCCTTTACCATGTTAGTTGTGGTATGCTTTGCCAAGATCCTATGCTTGTTTGTGTATGTTTGGAATTGTTATCCGTTGAGTGTTTGTCAACTGAGATTCTAAATGCCATCCAGAGGATAGAAACCCTGCAGAAAGAACAGAAGAAGGTGGGGAAGAGGAAAAGCATGATATGTTTGGTCCCAGGAGCATGTCTGTCTGTCATGGGCTCAACAGGAGCAGGCACAGCAGCCTATCCCCAATTGTGAAATGGTGTTTAAAGAACTTAGTGCTGAATTAGACAAAACTAAAGTATCTCTGCTTACTGAGGAACTTAAACAGGAGAAACAGAAAAGTCAGGACTATGAAGCTGGAGCTGATAGGCAGAGGAGATGTGCAGTCTGTTTGGAAACTACAGACAGAGATTTACAATTGGAATTAGAAGCAGTGAGACGGGAAGAGGAGAATCTAAAGGGCTCTTGCTGAATCTGAAACTCGGGGAAAGAAAGTCACAAGAGGAGTTGAAATTAATTATATTGCAGATGTCCACCACCCGTAACCCTTTTAAGATTCAGAATCTGGTGTCTGGTGCCTTCCCTGAGACATGCATGGTGATATCTGGGACTCTAGCAGTGACAAGAGACCTCCCCGTACAACCACAGTCAGACCCATTGTAAAGATGGAAATAAGGAGGTGAAAATGACCAGCCTGGACACATTATCACCACCACCAGAGCAATTCCGTGGTCCCTGGCTGAGCTAGCCAAATCACAAGAGAAATACTACAGGAGACTGCAGGAATCAGACTGAATATCTTTGTAGGGTGTCTTTGACAGGAGGAGATAAAATTATGTTAAGTGATATGGAAGCCAGTGGGTTTTGTGGTCCTGGCATCTTTCTCAATATGAGACCAGGACAAGAAAATCACTCTCTGACCGCCCATGCAGCGTACTGGGCAGGAGGAATTGACCCACAGGACTGGGTTTACCCATTGCTCATATGAATAGCCAGCTTTTCAGACCTCAGGTCATCTGCCTGGTCAAAAAGCTGCCTGTATTCAGGCCGTGTACCAACAAGGACTGGTAGCTGAGTCTCCTATGCTGGCTCCCATCAATCCTGACCGACTCACTCCCCTACTCCGAGGTCTCCTTCGTAGTGTCAAGATAAGGGAGAGGACCTTATGAGTTTCGATGGACCTGAACCAAGAACCTCGATGCCCCAAGCTGTCTCAATCCCTACTGAGCTGCATCAATCTGTACCAGGCTCTACCAGGCCATACTGGGCTGGGCCAGGCCATGGTACCAGACTGTGCCAGGCCGTGCCAAACCGTGCCATTCTGTGCCAAGCTGTGCCAGGCTGTGCATCGCAGGCAGCGGTGGCAGCGGGTGACATCAGGTGGCAGATCGAAGGCTGCCCGTGGCTTATCAGCTCCTGCTGGCCGTGTTTGCCCAGCGGTGCCTGGGCGGGACCTGCTGCCCCCCCCAGTGCTGCCAGCAGGAGAGCGTGGGGAGGGATGGCAGCACGGTGGGGCATGGCTGGGCCTTGGATCCCAGCTTTGCCCCCCACATGCAGGATGGGGTGGGTGATGAACAAGCCCAGGATGGCACCGTCCTCAGCAGCACTGAGGGACAGCTCACCCCAGGGTACAGGGCCAGACTAGGAGCTCATGTCAGCCCCTGGGAGAGGGGCAGGACAGTTCTGGAGCAGGGTCTGCCCATCCCCAAGCCCTGTGCATGGTGTCCCACCTGAGAGCCCCAGCAGGGGCTGCAGGAGGGGAGACAGGACTGAGTCAGACCGGCAGCCATTCCATGTGTGTCCTCTTGCTGTCACCTGTAGGTTTTCCCATATCCTCTGGCCACCCTGTGTCCCCCGGCTATCCCATGCCCCCTGTCTGTGCTCTGCACCCCCCTGAATGGCCACACCATTGTGTCCCAGTGCCAGAACAGAAATGGCACAGCAGGACCACAGCCCTCTGCTGACATCAGCTGCTCTGTTGTCATTGCTTCTCCTCTGTCCCTGCATGGACCAACACAGTCCCAGGCCATAGGAGGAACATGGGGCATCCCAGTACCCTGTCTGCAGTGACACTGCTACCACCTGGGTGCTGCCCCTGCCCTGGGGCTGGCCCAGAGCTCCCCACAACAGCGTTGTCTTCTCTGCATCCAGCACTGCCCGACAGAGACACCAGCCCCAGCACTCAAAGTGCATTTCCTGCTGTGCCCTAACACCCCAAAACGTCCAACCTCCACCCCAGGGCTGGTACCGGAGCCCCACACTCATCTTGGGGTCTGCAGGGAGCATGGGGCTGCAGATGGGGATCTGGAGCTGCAAGGGGGGGTGAGCAGCACCTCAGAGGCTGCAGCCCGGAGGGTTCATCCACTGCAGCCACAGCTCTGTTTGCACAGGCAGCGCTCGATAAGCACCATGTTCTTCAGAAGATCCCTACTCCAGGAGTCAAAATAGCATGAAATTTAATTTTACGCCTATTTGACAAAGCTTGATTTTACCTCCAATCAGCGGGGAGATAAGAGCCCTCGGTACAAGTGTGCGGGCAGTTTGGCAGCTGGGGCTGCCGATTTAATAGGTGAATCTACAGGAACAACACTTGAAAATCCCCTGGCGAGTGAGCCATTAAGGTGAGCCCTGCCTTCCGTCCCCGCGTCCCTCCCCGCGCCGCTCTCCCGTTGCTGGGTGCTAAAGCAAACCCTGGCTCTGTTTACCGAGTCTACTATTACAATACGGCTACCAAATATTTGCCAGCCGTCAGCTCGCTGCTCCGCTATAAATACTTCAGGCCCAGGTGGAGGGACAGCGAGGGGGAACGGCGCGGGAGCCTATGCATGGCCGGGCAGCAGCACCAAGGTGAGTGCCGACCGAGCCGGGCTGAGCCAGGGCACTGCAGGAGATACGGCACCGAGCAATGCCCTCCAGCCCCTGCAGCTCTGCTCTCCCTGCTTCCCGGAGGTGAGCATCCCTGCAGGGTGTGCAGAGCCCCGGGAGCTGAGCTCATCACTTGCCCGTGGAGGGGAATGGGGCATGTGGCTGAGTGCTCTGTAGAGAGCATAGAGGGGCCTCATCCAGCTCGGCAGGACTGAGCTGTGGCCAGAGCCCACAAAGCAGTGCTGGGAGGGGGCCAGGTTTATCCCCTAACAGAGAAACATTTGGGGTCCTTGTGTGGGCTCTCAGCATCCTGGCGGTGCAGCCCATGGGGTTCAGTGCTGTGCCCAGGGCGGGAGGTGCTCAACACCATTCACCACCACGCAGAGCCCTGGGGTAACAGGGGACGTCCAGGGGAGCACTAACCTTACTCTGTAGCTCGGGGGATGTTTGTACTGCTCCACATCCTGCAACTTGGATGGGACGCCCCTGCCGCCTCACATCTCTCTGGGGACATCCCTACTGCCCTGCAATTAGTGGGGTTAGAGGGGACACCCCCGCTGCCCTGTGTCCCATGGATCAGCGGGACATCCCTGCTGTTCTGTGTCCCATGGCCCCCATCCCAGGGACAGGGGTACATCCCCGCTGCCCCGCACCCCACACTGGCGGTGGCACGGTGTGACACAGCCCCACAATGCCTGAGGGCGGAACACGGCAGCGGGGCAGCAGGACAGGACAGGGTGGGAGGACGGGGCTGCGAGCCACCCTCACGCCGTGTCCCTGCTCGCAGGGTGAGCCCAGGCCCCGGGGTGTCCCTTTGCACCGACATGGCTGCCGGCGTCATCCGGCCGCTGGCCGAGCTGCGGCTGCCCTCGCCCTTCCCGCACGGCCTGCTCCTGCCTGCGCGTCCCGAGCCCGACTTCCCCGACCTCTCTGAGGAGGACGACGAAGAAGAGGAGGAGGAGGATGAAGAGGAGGCAGCAGAGCAGAGCGGCGGACCGGAGCCCGCCTGCCCCAGTGCCGCAGAGACCACGCTGCGACTCCTGCGCTTCTCAGAGCTCATCAGCTGCGACATCCAGCGGTACTTCGGGCGGCGGGGCCGGGAGGAGGCCGCTGGCGGCCATGGCGTGCCCGAGGACTGCAGCTCGCCCCGCAGCTCGCCCAGCCCGGGGCACATGGCACGGGGCGGCCGGGCGCAGCCGGAGGCGGCACTCGGTGCCCACGGGGCCGCACACAGGCTGGGGCCGCTGGCCGAGCTCTTTGAGTACGGCGTGCGCCGGTGCCTGGCACCGCAGGCGGTCAGCGGGAAGGCGCAGCGGCTGGAGAGGAAATACGGCCACATCACCCCCATGCACAGGAGGAAACTGCCGCCCTCCTTCTGGAGGGAGCCGGGTCCCGGCCCTGGCAGCCTCCTGCACGCCGGCACCCCTGACTTCAGTGACCTGCTGGCCCACTGGACGGTGGAGCCGGGGCCAGAGCTGCCGGGCAGCGGGCGGGAGCTGCCTCCTATGCCGGGCCATGCTGGGCTGGAGGCTGAGCCCTACAGCGGGCTGTGACCCACCGCAGCTCAGGGCTGCCACGTGCCGCACGGGTAATGAGCAACCCATGGGCAATGGGACGCTTGGAGCCAGTGGGTCGGAGCCAGCAATGGGACGAGTGAATAAATGACTCCCACAGGCATGAGCGCGTGCGGTTTCCTTCACCACAGTATCCCTGGCCCTGGGTGGCAAAGGGCTGCAGCACAGCACCCCTCGGCTCCAGGAAGAGGAGGAGGAGGGACACGCAGTGGCTGGAGGAGCACAGCCTGTGTTTGCTCGGCAGGCCCAATGCGGTGGATCCCATCCCCTTATCTCAGCTGTGCTGGGGCAAAGGGCAACGTGGGGCCTCACAAAGCACCCAGCTGCCAGCCAGCAATGCACTGCAACCTGGGTGGGGGGACTCAGCAGCACCATACGGACCCAGGGCCACTGCACTGCCAGCAAGCAGGAACCAGGCTGGAGACTTCCCCTTCTCCATGGCCTCCTAGCTGCTGCTGGAACCCAGCCCTGTTACCAGGGTCCAGCCAAGGCATCCCCCCCTTTATTACAGTGGCTCTTTGTTGGCCTTGAAAGGGAAAAGCACCCAGGAAGCAGCTCTGGGCATCCACCCCTCGCCAGGGGGCTGTGACACGCAGCACTCCCCCCATACAAGCACCCCAAACCCCTGGCATTCTCAGGCAGAGCAGTGCTCACAGCCCCTAGCACCAATCCTGGGAGCTGAGCTCCAGCAACAGCACAAAGAGATGGAGGGAAGCATGAGACAGGCAATGCCAGAATAAAAGTACAAACAGGGTTTATTTCAGCACAGAAGTGGTTGGAAGCCCACAGGTACCAGCATTCCTCTGCCCTGCACAGCTCTCAGCCCAGAGCACAGCATAGGGTGCTGCTACTGCAGGGCATGGTGCAGTGCAAGGAGCAGGGATAGGGCCAGCACCTGTAGTGATGATGGCAAAGGAAGACAGAGGAGGGGGAGTTACACCAGGGGGATGTGAGGGCTGGAAACTCTCCTCACCCAGGGAGAAGCAGACTGGTCTCCCCCTGTGGCCCAGCCCAGCAGGACCCAGGCTACTGCGCCAGTCTGGACCAAACTGCAGCACATACAGAAACACAGCTGAGGACCCAGCATCATTGAAGAAGCACTTCTGGGACTCGAAGGAGAGCAGGAGTCAGAGGGGACCATGCTCTAGGACCACCACCCCCCAAGGAAAAGGGGGTTCTCCTCTTCCCCTCCCCACTTAGAGCCCAGGCATGGCCACACTATCCCTCACACCTTGCCCTTAGAGGCAAAGCAGCTGAGGGAGCCAAGAAAGAGATGGAGGCAGCAGCTGCTGAACCATGGAAGCCCTTTTATTGCACAGCAGGGCAGGGAACTCCTCCAGCCAGAGGAGCAGAATTGCAGGAGTGTGGCACAGGGCTCACCCCCACAGTTGGCAGCAGCATAGGGAGAAGGGACAGGGACTTTGAAGCAGGAGGAGCACCACCACTTCCCATCCCCACACAGCCTGACCCAGCCCCATAGAGGGTGCTCAGCCAGGGCCAGGCCCAGACAGCCCAGGGTGGCAGCAGAGACAGAGGGCAGAGACTGTGGCAGAAAGACTGGGCCCAGCTCAGCAGGGCATGCCAGCTCCCCTGGGCCCACTCCTGCCTTCACCCAACCCGTGATGAACCTATGCAAGGAGCTAACAGAGCTAACCGTGTATTTTGATCCCTCAGGGAAGCAGAGGAAGTAGTGAGGAAGAGGAGAAGGGGAGCCAGCAGACTGGAGAAGGCAGCAACACACGGAGAGCCAGGGCAGTGTGGCTGGGTCGGTGCTCCAGGCACCGTGATGCCTCCACAAGCCAACCCTGTCCTCTCCCTGCCTCCACCAAAATAGGGTCCTGGTCTCAGAGGGGCCGGGGGCCAGGGCACAACTCTGCTGGGTCGTGCTGCCCCACGTCACGTTTGTGCCAGCGACAGCTCCTCCAGTCCCTCCTTCCCCAGGCGGTACCTGGCGAGGTCTTTGCGGGTGACCATGCCCACCACCTGCCAGGGAAAGGACAGGATTAAGCCCCGCACTAACGAACAGAATGTGGGGACAACAGCAGTATCCCCACGAGCTGCCCCAGGGCCTCACCTCATTGTGATTATTCACAACCACCAAATGCCGGAGGCCCAGGGCTCGGAAAAGTTTGAACACCCGCGGCAGAGACGCCTCCTGCAAGGCAGAGCGGGGCCGTGGCAGTCATGGGGTGCCCCCAGCTGGCGGTGGGCTCCACAGGGGCAGCGGCCCGCAGTCATTACCTGCGGCACAGTGTAGGGCGAGGGGTTCATGAACTCGCTCAGATCAATCATGCACTCGCGCTCATCCTGGGAGACGTGGATGGACTGGATGGGGGGGAAGCGGGGATAGGCGTCCCGGAAATCCTTCAGCTTCAGCCGCCGCTGCACCAGGCTCAGGTTGGCCCTTTCCACAAAAACCTGGGGAGGAATGAGAGCCCTCAGGGACCTCCCTGCTCACTGAGGCACTCAGCCACACAGCCCCAGGGCACCCACACAGGCAGGGAGGGAAGTGGCCAGAAGCATGGGGTAGGCAGACCTTCTGGAGGGGAGCACTGAGCTTCCTGATCCCTGGGACGGTTGCTGTGTACTCACCTTGTGCTTCAGCAGGACAATGAGCTGGGAGCGCAGGATCAAACCCCGCAGCCCAGCCACCTGCAACAGAGCACCCAGCATGAGGCAGGGCTGGTTGGGGCAGCAACGTCCCACCACCACAGCCATCTCTTGCACAGACAACCCCCCAGGCAGTCCCAAGCCCACCTGTGTGGTGTTGGGGCTGCTCTCCACCACTGGGAAGCCGTTGTGGTTGGAGGAGGTGTCACTGAGGATGTCCACAACGGTGCCCACCCGCTCGATCCTCCGCAGGCAGGTGACGGGCGTGCTCATCACTTCCCTGCAAAGAAGGGTCGGTGTGAAACAGCTAGATGGCAGCACACCCCAAATCCACCCCGAAGTGCACAGCTCTCAGTCCTCTGCCTCCACAGCGTGGGGGGCATGGGCACAGATATCACCCTGCTGGGGAAGGGGCTGGGCTGGCAGCAGCACGACCCCAGGGCTGTTCCCAGAGGTGTCAGACCCTCAGTCCACCTACCTGGCTGTGAGCGAATGGGACGTCACAGGAGCCTCCCAGTGCAGGAAGGGCACGCTCTGCAGCTGGATGTGCATGTCGTAGAGCCCCTGCAAGGAGAGTCATGCCATCAGGAGATATGCAAAGGGAGTACAGCCAGGCAGCAGCTCCTCTCTGCATCAGACACAAGGGTCTCCTCCCAAGGCTCTGCAGCAGCCCCAGTCCTCACCTACGGCTTCCCCTGGCTCTGCAGTACTCCAGATTCTCACCCACAGCCTCCCACCCCATCCCAGGCTCACAGTGAATGCATCCAGTCCTCACCTCCACAAAGTAATCTCCCACAATCTTTGCTGTCATCAGCACCAGCATGATGGGGAATCCATAGGTGACGTTGCCTGTTGCCTCCATCATGATGACAGTGAGACTCAGCGTCATCCGCACTATCCCACCTGCAAGAAGCACCCGAGGGGCTCAGGGGAGAGCATCCAAGGCCCTTCAGTTTCTGCACAGCAACTCAGGACTCTCACAAAGGCACCACATCCAACCCACCAAGGGACACTGCTCCCCTCTGCTGGCTGTGCAGGCAGGAGCCAGTCACCAAGTGACAGCAAACCACACAGTGACAGGGCTCTGGGGCAGGTTAGGGGAGGCCAGAGCTCCCAGGCACCTCCTGGATCTGCCCTGGACAAGCCCAGCCCTCATTTCCACCACAGTGCTGCCAGCACTTGGTAGTGTTGTGAGGTTGGGTTTTAACCTGACAGTACAGGCTGCACTCCAACTAGGGGAAAATCTTCATCAGAGAAGCAGAGAGCATTTTTTCTCCACGCCACCTTCACTATGACACAAGTTGGATGTGGCCATGAACCCTCGAGGGGGGCAACTCAGCGACTCACCCAGCTGTGCAGCAGCTCCCATCAGGGCGTACTTCCCAGGGTCAGCCCAGATCTGAGCACATGAGAGAGAAGAGACTGAGTGAGCCGCTAGCTCCAGGGCACACAGAGATAACGGGCAGCGCCCCGGCTCCAAAGCCCACTTCTGAAGGAGCAGAGCATGCCAGAAGCTGCCTGCACAGCCCGTATGTCAGCAGGGCTCTGTCAGGGCCAGGGAAAAACCCAGATGTTGCTCAGGAGAACATCAAGTGAGGAGTCAACCCACCCCACACTTCTCCAGCCTACTGTGCCAGGCTCTCAGCCAGCTCCATGCCCACTGCCTGCGTGCACAGCCAGGTCAGCAGCAAAGGAGGTGAGCGAGAAGCTGCACTGCTCCTTCTCATCAAGTGCTCACCGAGCCCTTGGTCAGGTAGGACAGGGAGATGCCAAACAGCCGCCCCCAGGCAGCACCAATCAGCAGGGAAGGGATGAAGACCCCTGCAGACACCGTGAGGCCATACGTCCAGCAAGCCAGGAAGAAATACATCAGGGTGAACATGCCCAGTGTCATGGGGTTGTAGGAACCTGGGGTGGGAAGAGAACAGGGAATCAGTGCCAGTCACACAGCCTGAACAGCACTACAGCCATGGGAGAACAGCCAGTAGCCCCTCCTGCAGGGCAGCGTGACAAACTTTGCAAAGCCCTGAGGGACACTGGAGGACAAGGTCTGGTGGGCAGAGGCACTGGTGAACTGGTCCCAGAACAGCTTTGAGATCAAAGCAGCAGCCCCAGGGGGCAGAGAACACTTTAGCATTACACGGGGTCCAAAGGAAATAAGAGCTGAAGTCTAAAAGCCAGATTTCATTTCTCACACAGATCCAAACTCCAAAATCCACCTCCACAACCTACCCAGAAGGTAAAGTCATTCAGGGGCAAGAAGCCCAGCTAAGTAAGAAACCAGCCAGACTTCAGAGAGCAAGCAAGGGTCAGTCACGCTCCCACACAGATCAGAATGACAGCTTGCAAACAGACAAAACTGGTTCCTTGTTCACAGGCAGCCCTGAGGGCAGAGCCCTTTGGCTGAGCTTATGATGCCTCCAAACACAGCACCCATCCCTCCCTCCCTCTGCTGCAGCAAAGGAGCTGACATC